TTCACAGCCACAAAACCTAACATTTATTTGTATTTGGCTCCCCACGTACACGAAGATTTATAGATCTGCTTTATCATAACTTATAAAACACGATTGAACTCCAAAACTTCACCTTCACGGTGAGGCCAACATCCAAATACCACAACCATACAAGCATGCACCTCTATATATCCCAAGCAAATTTACCTCCTTCAAGCACCAAAAATAGCAACACAGTCACCAACACTTTTATCAAAAGACTCAAATCAGTTCAATATAAAGCAAAGCAATGATGAGCTTCAACCAGATATCTTTGGAGCAGATGTTCTGCTATTTCGATGAGAATGGCGATGGGCGAATCTCGTCGGCGGAGCTCAAGTCATGTATGAGCGCCGTCGGCTACGATCTATCCCTAGAGGAAGTCGGGGCCATCATTGAGTCGATGGATGCTGACGGCGATGGATCGCTGAGGCTTGAGGAATTCATCCAATTGATGGAGAGGGGAGAGGAAGAAGATGATACAGAGATGATAGAAGCCTTCAAGATGTACGAGATGGAAGACCAGGGATGCATAACTGCGAAGAGTCTTAAAAGGATGCTAAGCAGGTTAGGTTATTCAAGGGATATTGAGGTTTGCCAGGGGGTGATTAGTAAATTTGACACCAACAATGATGGGGTGCTCAGCTTTGAAGAGTTTAAGAATATGATGATGGCTTGAAAAGTTTATTCTTGATTATTTGTTCATTTGTCATTGAAATATTTATATATGCATCATTATGATTTGTTCTATTTCTTTTTTTTTTTTTAACTTATTTGTTTGCTTTGTATTTAAAAATATTTTTATTTTTTACTTTTATATTTTTAAACATAACATATCAAAATTGGTCGTCATTAACGGAATATTATTGGGTTCCTATACTGGACAACGTTCGGAGCCCAATGAAAATGCGCCACATCACCTCCTATTCGGTACTGAGCTTTGTATGAGCTCGGCACTTCACAGTACAGTACCGAGCAGTACTAAGCTTGGTACTGCTCAATACCAAGCTTAATACTGCTCGGTATTACGAAGTACCGAATTCAGTACTTCACAGTACCGAATTCAGTATTACTCGGTACTGTGAAGTACTAAACGGTGAGTTGTATCCGGTGCCCAAATCCAATAATCTCTCGTCATTAATGCCATCGCTGATTGTCACCACCACATTCAGCAATCACAATGAATAACTATCGTCACCACATTAAAAATAAACTTATTTAATATTCAATAGAAATATAAATAATATATCTTAAGATATTAAATATATTTATTTTAGATTAAATATAAATAAAATAAATAAATAAAAAAGTGATTCT